GAATTAGAGATTGTTAATGTGCTGCCCAAGTAGGTGAAGGACTCAGTTGCCTTCAGTGGTTCATTTTTGACTGTAATCGTCTCTGGCAGTTCAGATGATTTTGGTGCTGGTTGGTAAAGCATCTCGGTCTTGGATATGTTGATCTTTAGCCCAAACATATCCGCTGCAGAGGAAAAACGATCCACAATATGCTGCATATCAACTGCGTTGCTAGCCACCAGTGCGGAGTCATCGGCATAGAGCAATTCCCTGATGCATATCTCCTGTGTTTTCGTGTGGGCACGAAGCCGGGCAAGGTTGAACAGTTCCCCCTCCATCCGTGTGCGGATGAACACGCCCCTGTTGGTCCCATCGTTTGCAGAATCCAGTACTGCTGTGAGGTGGAGGGAGAAGAGAGTAGGGGCTGTCCTGTATCCCTAGGTAGGGGGGCGAGTGGGTACTAACACTTGCCCAAGGTGAACCCACAGACTAGTGGAGGGAAGGAGTCGTCTTACTTCTCCATTCTAGACTGGCTCCAAGCTAGGTCTAGCCACTGCCCCAGGCTCACTGGCTTACAACCTTGGCGAATTCATATGCAGGCCTGGTCGCAAATCAATCACCCAGAACCTCCTGCACATATTACAATATTTACAAAAGTTATTACTTATAAAGAAGCAGAACAATTTTACTTCCAACCTCTGACCATTTATACAAAAGAAAAACGAAAAAAAATTCAATATTTACGGATTTATATACTTTTTGGCTGCAGCCACTGGAAAAACGGAAAAATACTTGCAGTACTATTAAGACGACCATTGCGTAAAGAAAATATTTCAGAAAAATAAGTAACTAATATGTTTAAGGTCTTAATTATATAATCCTTATTGTTTATTGAAGTCCAAAGCATGGCCTCAGCATARCTTCCAGGAGAAGCCGAGCTTAAGCTATACACTGCTTTTGACAATCTCACAAGCAAATGTGGCGCTCTTCTTCTTTAATCACAAAAGCAAGGGTCACGTGACCCACTGGTGGTCAAGAAGGTTTTGGCTAGGGTTGATGTTTGGATAGGGTTAGAGATGCTGACCTAGGGTAGTGCTAGGGTTAGGGCTTGGGTTGGCTTAAGATTTAGATTGGGGTTAGGGATAGGATTAGGGTTTTAGCCTAGTTCTAGTCACGTGACTAGCCTCCCTCACAAATTGAGACCAGAACTGAAATCAGTACTGACATTTTGCAGTGGACCAGTAGTTATAGCTTTCTAGCTATTCGTAGAGATCTTTATCACTATCCCCCATACCTTCGACTTTGCGCGTTTTGCTATAAAGGCTCCAAACGTTAGATATTGGCAGTAGCTCTTCTATATATCTCTGTGCTTTTTGATTTGTTTTGACTCAAATGTTGTCAATTAGGACTACAATTATTAGATAATCTTTTTCAGATAAGTTTGAAATGAAATAATCAATACATTGCGTAGTCTCCTTCGCAGCCTCCCCTTTTCTCGGGCTTCCTGTCCCTCCCAAAATAAGAGGCTGCTTACCGGAGCGGAAGATTCCATTCCCGCTTTTAGCCAATCACAGATCGGCTCCCCGATTTCGGGAGCCAACTCAACGCCACGGGACATCGAAAAGCTCATAAGACGTACTAAAACGACTCCAATTTTCGCTAAACGACTGCTATTTGCGATAGATTTTGAGGAGAAGACCGACCTGTT